ATATATATAAATTACTGGATTAGTTCAACAACAAAAAACGGAGACAGCGATAGCATGCATACAAACGTGAGACTGGAAATACATTCTGAAACCTAATCACAAATTATCAACAGGTGGTCTTTGTAAACACCTGAACAATAAATTGAAATTACCACGAATGACTTACCCTAACATCTTGTAACCGGATAGCCGCATTGATACCCTTCTGTGTTGTGGACGTAGACAGTTTCTTACCGACTGCACATTTTTGTACATTTCTAGTTGTTCGTAATGTGTTCTCTGCGCGGCTGGGTGTGATTGGTCCCGATCTGGTTCCGGATTGCAGACTACCCGTCTGACTTGATGCTCGAGCACCGGATTCCTGTTCATGGACGAACAGAAAAACCCGCCCGAGCTGTTGCATGACCCATCGAATGAAACCGGTCTGGACCATGTTCTCAAACAGTTCCTTGCGCTCGGTGTGCGTGGACGATCGGGATAAACAATCCAAGAGGTGGGGCTGTTCTGATTGACGAGTGACGTGAGTGAAACGACTGACAAAAGTCAGCATTGTGTCACACCACAATTCCATGACCATATGTTTCTCCATACGATTAGGAGTCAGTTCCTATTGTTGTAAGAGATGATAAAAAGGACGGGGAGGAGGAGAAAAGTAAATAACAGGAAACGGTACGAGTTTTAACGTCGTGTGCAATGCAAATGAGCGAAGCGGTGCAAGATCTGGATTTTGTCATCTATAAAGAGAATAGTTGGAATGAAGGAACTCTAAAAGGTTCAGAAAGATCATGAATACATAGTTTGATGCACATAGGAAAACCTCATTATGGTCGGGGATGGGTGTCACGGGTTGACTGGTGACCCCTCCCTTGTACTGTTCGATTAATCATCGCTAGTAGCTTGATTGAGAAACCCATAGTCATTGCCTTATCGTGGCGGAGGTGTGTTCCCACAAAAGTGGGAGGACAAAAACCAATATCCGGGATTACGACCGGGTAGGTGAAGCGCAGGCAGTTCAAACTAAGAGGCACACGAACCACATACACACACCTTCCTGTTTGTCGCAGTGATCACTGGCTCAATTGGGCATCGAAGTGTGTTAAGCAGCTTGGAAGTTTGACGTCGTCTAAAGGGCGTATGATCCGTTGAACTGGACAAGGGCCCTATCGTTTGCGGTTTACACACCACCCAGCTACCTTGCGGGTCAGGCTTTGGTCAGACGAAGGCTTCCGTGGTGAATTCCTCAAGAAAATTCACCTGCTCTGTCTTGTCCTAGACCTTTTTTCTTTTCTATAATGATTATTGTACAGAGATTTGTTTGGTACACATAGATAGAATGCAGCGAGCGGGTTGGCAAACACTACGATGAGTCGCGATGAAATCGGAAATAGAATTGGGAATGTGTATTTGCTTTTGGGAACCGGTGAAATGGATCACCTACTATCAGGCATCTGTCAATGAAATAAATCAAACGCCAGAACGACGGACGATGCGATTTGACAAAATCCGTACATGCCCGCGCACGTTTCTCTTTCCATGATTCATTCACATTAGCTTCGCATTGTTTCAACAACAAAGGCAGTTATTCTTTTTCAAACTGCGATAAATAAAAATCCCGAAGAATTCATTTACACCAAGCATCTCTAACAGACGTATTTTACAGCTTTTTGCTAACTGCAAGTTTACACAGTTTCCACTTTCCCGAATCGGCCAGATTTATGCGCATCTCTAATGCATTCACTGTCCACGTTAAATTGATGTTGAAATCGCTTGGTTTTTTTCTTTTAGTTTTGGCAGAGTGAAATTGTGAATTGAATATTTAACGAGTTACACATCTCCACATTGACCTTTCAAGTCCTTCGATGACGACAGAGATCTTTTTGAGGAAATCGCAGCCTAATATGATTGAGATTTTGCGTTGAAAGTAAACTGTTGTTTTATGAAATTAATGGAAGATTTCACTTATTTATATAATGATTTCGTCGTGCAAGTGAGGCGTGAGCTGAAAAGCTAGGAAGCACTGGACAGCTATTTCGACCTGGTTGGGTATCATCAGCAGTTCAAATCCATCGACCTAACCGGGGTTCGAATTCGAGACCTCACGTGTAGAATGCAAGCATACTACCATCTCAATCACCGAGCAGCTGATCAGACCGTTTCTCATTTGGAATGTACAAGATATAGCACACAACCCATCTATGCGAGGTTGTTGCGAGTATCGGTCCTCGTTTATCTCAGCACTACTCTCCAGAGTTGACTCGGTCGGAGACTTTCGCAACCTAATTATTTGCTGTATGAGATGGATTGTGCTATATTGTGTAAATGGAAAGTGAAAAACAGTCTGATCAGCTGCTCGGTGGTCGAGTGGGTAGTATGCATGCGTTCTACCTGTGATGTCCCGTGTTTGATTCCCAGTTAGGTCGATGGATTTGCACTGTTGATGAGACCCAACCAGGTCGAAACAGCTGTCCTGTGCTCCTTAGCTTTTCAGCTCACGCCTCACGTACACGACGAATTAATCATATAAACCGTTGTTTGTCGGTATGTTTACGTAGCATCATATGTCTGCAAGTTATGGCATCTAAAAGGCTCACATTGGCTAGAATAAACATCTTCATCAGTGAATAATAACATATTTGAAAGAATTGACCATTGTGTTACAGTAGACTATTCATTTGTTGATTATTTTTAGTAACTAATATACGTTGTAACTGGCACGCATTCTACTCTGGTAGTCACAAGGTCACGCCAATTCAAGTGGTGATGAAAGAAGATTGGGTGCATTGTGATAAGAGAAGGTGAGAATAAATCTGAGCATTTTATATATGGCTGTCGATATAAAAGAAAGATATACAAAACTGAAAGATATTTCCTTATAACCAGTCATATCCGACTATTTCGATCGGTGCCTGTACACCACTATCCAAACGTGTTTATTCATGGACGATGTTGGCACTGTTTGCTAAAACCATATCAATGTTTCACAACAGTATGTCACCCTAAAGCCACCGTTTATCGATGATGAACAACCCAATCTGACGAGGACGCATACCACACACACACACACACACTGCTCCTCCGCATGTAATATTTAAGTCACGTCAGTGCCGGGTTCCCATATCTTCTTCTTTGACATATTGGACCGTGTTCAGAAAGAGAAAAGCCGTTCGTGTTGATGCTGACCCGTATGTAAGATGCACCTCTTCCATTAATTGCCGTTCGTCTTGGGATCAGGCCGTGGTAACTTTCTCATTCCTATTATAAAAAACTGCTCATTGGAGCTTGTCGACCCGGTCCCTTTTCCACTTACGTTTGTCCGTAAGTCCCGATAATAAGCCTTAAACTACTGGTTTTCGTCCAAGAACTGTGGGAAGTTTGCGCACGGTAATTTCTTCTGACATTTAAAACTATTCAGTATGCAAGTAAAAAACTCAAGATTAATTTTTTAAATACATGTCCCGCTGTGTCCACTGTACAATAGCTTCACTGTTTACTGAAGGTGGGGCCTTTGAAATTGGCTGTCAATTTTGTTAGCGATGGAACTTTGGTTTTTTTCATCACACATTACCTCTGGATATACTTTCGTATCAATTACGGTGACCACAAAGATTAAATACAATGCTCTTAGTTTAATTTCCGTACGAGTATCCGCGGAATACATCAACGAGCATATTAACAACTTCTTGGGGTGTTTTGTTCCGATTTACAACAGGGGGGTGAGGTGTTCATTAATGGTTAAGGTGAGAAAAATACTCAACACAACCACATGAAGGTCTATCGACCGATTGGCAGAAGAATGAAGAGATATAGATGAGAACAACTTGGGGAAAAAAAGTAACAATCCGGATTAAAAACGAGTTTACCTTTGACAACATGTCTGCGAAGTATTTGGTTAGAGTGGATCGCACGGCGGGCATGAGTATTTCCCGACATTCTGGATCGTCAAACAACGGCGATTCAATTGTTTCCACGAGGATTTTTCGATTGGGCGACTCGGGGAAATCGATCATACGATCCAGCAGAGCCACAATCGAGCGAGATAGTCGATCACGCGGATAGACAAGGGAGACGTCCCGTATGATCTGGGATACGGCGTTGACGATTTTGAGCTATGGTGAGTAGAAATAAGCATAGAGAAGAGATTTCATGGTAGAACTTAGTCTTCCCTGAAAGCAGGGTATCGTTAGAACAAATAGGATTTGTTTGGTACACAGTATCAAATCAGACGTGCGGTAGAAAGCTATCAAAATACATACAATAAGACAAGGCAAACACGATTTAAATAATTCTATTTATCCTCTGTTTTTCTTTGAACAGCTAATTCAATTATGTGAACATCCGATTAAAGCACTGTAACAAAGTGTACTATGAAATAATAGGCATGTCAGTTTATTCAGTTGCAGTTCAGCGTGCAGTACTCACCACTCACCGATCGCGATTACGACATGGTCCACATCGGATTATGCAGATACCTGAATCGCAATTAGTATCAATCTCGACCGGACATTTTCTCTTGGCTACTCGGTGAATAACAGACCGCATAGGAGAAACTTTTCGCCTCAAATTAATGGTGCATGACGCGGGCTTTCAACCTGAGGTCAGTGCGCGGCCAGGCGGATGACTCAAAGTTGGACCACGAACTGATCAGTTAGATGGTTCACACGAATCAAAAGATGAAGCAAGAAATTAATATCTTAGTGAGACCTTATGCGGTTCACCACTCTCCGACACGGGGCTTAGTTTGCCGGTTTGCATCACAGAATAGCAGGAATACGCAACTATGGGGTTTACCCCGTTTGCTGTTCAGCACACCAAAAACGTGTGTAATGAAAAAAAGAAATACACGTGGCAAATTCCAAAGTGTTAAACTAAACGCCCTCAAAATGTCCAAGTGATACAGCACACATGCGAGAAAATCAAGGTAGGAATTTTTTCGAGGCACGTTTTCAAGCATTTTACCAGAATAAAATTCTTTCACTTAAAAGAGCTCAATGCATGGATGCAACTGCAACGTTGAACAGGTACCATCGTGTGTATAGCGAGAGAGAGAGTGGAAGAGTGTAGATAAAGATAGGGTGCGTTGCATGCTGAGTTCCGTCAAAAAAGAAGCAAAATTGGTGTGATCAAGTGAGCTAATTTCATAATAGAGACTAAAAAATGGTAACCAATCTGGCCAACCGAAGAAACAAAAAGCATTTAGGGAACAATAGGGTACCGACAGAACTTACACAAGAATAATATACAGAAAATGACAAATCTGAGTGTTGTGCAAAGCACTCGGTCAGATGATCATCTGATTTTTAAACATCACTTGGATGGAAACCGGGGACTGTAATCCTGAACTTTTGACAATTATTCACCTCAAATTATCAACCGGTTCACTCCAGGTGGTGGCGTGAGCACTGTTCACGGTCTTCCAAACACCGTTGTCTTCACACGTGGAGACAGTCTGACCGTGGTGATATGCCCTGACCACTGGAACCGGTGAAGGTCAGATCTTTGCACTGAGCCACCGGGCTAGGCAATACACGCTGTCTGGTGCTTGCTTATTGGTCGTCGTCCAGTGGTCAGACAATGCTCACACAATTCTCTGTCAATGACACGCTTTCCGTTTGAAGGTTCGAGGTGGTAGAGCCAGTTCTGCTCCGATCCGTTAGTACCAGCATGAACATTGTCGCCTGGTTCAGACAATACTTATGCTACTGGGGGCTAATAAATGTTGTCAGGGCTAAGATCAGCAAGTATCAAAACTTAACTCATGATTAAAAGGTTCACACTTTCTATCAGACATCATACATGAAACCCCCAAACAACTATGCCCGGAATATTTCATTAACGAAAAATGAAGAAAAACGATTCCAAGTAATGATTGAGTAAATGTACTGAACAAAAAAATAAGGGAATCGCTTAAATAGGACCATCCATTGCCAAAGAAAACTTCAGCCCGGGGTAGAACATAGCCGTGATTAAAAGTGGAACATCGTACACATTACTCACTGGTAGAGAGTGATTTGTGAGCAAAGTGACTCGGATAATCTGAGAGAGGAACTCGTCCATTTGACGGAAGAATATCTGTTTCTGGCCGGATTCATCCGAATCGTTTGGAAGGCTTTCCAGTTCTAATTGCTGTAATGAAAAGGAGAAAGAAACATCAATGTGTGTGTGTGTGTGGTTTATACAGCCTTTTGATATGCTATCTAAGATACAAAAAATATCCTCCGTGATATTCAGAAAGTGCTGGGTCAGATTCTTTGTATCAGAAATTCCATGGAAATGAAACTTCTGCGAACATCAACAGTTTGTAGTAATTAAGACGAGCTTGACACAGGGAAGTAATCGAAGAATACAAAAAATATTAGACGGCAGCAATTGCAAGACCCGAAGCCCGTGCACTTCCTTTCCACTAGGCCGTATTAGAAAACCGAGCGAGACAGATAAAATCGAAAAAATATCCCCAGAATGGAATGAATACAAGCAGTGCTACACACGAATCCCCGGTTTGGATTTCATCGCTACCACGGTTCAATTGAAAAAAGGAGTAAAACGTTTGGCAGCCACTTGACCGAATCGATCATCGTGGGACTTTAGGCATTTCATCGTTTCAAGTCCCATAGATTAAGTTATCGGGTTCCCCAACACAAAAGCAGATCGCTGGGATTACAGGATGCATCACCCACTGTGGATCACGCTGAGTTGTGCCAGTGCCCAGTACACAGTGTTGAGAAAAACAAGGACCTACAAAGCGCCAAGGATCAAGTGAGACATCTGTGATGGTTCGCAGTTACGGTGACAATAATTAAAGTCGTGTAACTGCCAAACAGGTCTTTGATGTATGTGAAACTATCTAAACCTATTCACAGGTGAAAGCATCATATCTTAAGCAAATGAAAGCGAATCACCTAAGCGATTACGGCTTTCAACTCTAAACAGTATTTATTCATTTCCAGTCTGCTCTGATAGTTCCCTCTAAACTAATCACTGTCCAACTGACACCTTCAAATCTACTCGACAAAAGAATCACCACCAGTTAATCGGACAACGGCTTTTGGTGTGGGGAAAATACTTTCCCGACTAGTTGTCGGTATGTACAGTGAGGGAGTTTCCTCCACAATGCTTGTTGTGTTCGACCTAATTAGTACTAATGACTAGCCAATGTTTATTTATGAACAACCAATGTGTTCCACTCATCCACAGCGGAAAAAAGGACCAGAATTATCATTTTGCAACTTAACCTGAGCTGACTTTACAAGAGGAACCAAAACTAGGCCACTAGGAGGGTGCCAGACAACTTAAACAGTTCAACTAGATTATGCAACTATGAGAATACTAAAACAGATAGAATACAAATGCTCAGCAATGTGTTCTGGTCTCAGTTGTGCACCAATCCATACGAAGAGACTGATTCGTGTGAATATGCGATAGTATGTGCATTTACAGTCGGGAGCAGCAAAACAATCCGTGGGAAGAAGAACACGATTGAGAGGAACAAATCAAGCATGACTCTGAACGTCATAGGGGCCCAAGACTAACAAGTGACAATGCGAAACGTGTGGTCAACGGGTCACAGAATACGTACGCGTGGAGGACATCGTCAGGGTTTTGCGCTGTCCCTGCTACTGTATATATATATATATAAACTGCTGTGAATAGCCACAGCAAACAGCGCGTTCACAACGAGGCTACATCGTCCTCATTCCGCTCGGACAATGGGTTTTGCTGTGTCTGTCAGTTTGTACATCTATCAACAACCTTACACATCCGTGGTCCCGTTTCGGTCACTGTCTTTCGGGTTCCGAATCGGATGCAGCACGTTACACTATTTTCACGAATGAAAAATAAGAAACAGAGCAAGGTATGCATTTGTAAAAAGTAAAGAAAACAAACAATAGTGTAACAGAATCAGATTGTAACAAGCGGTTGGGTAATCTCATTCTCTCCCGCNNNNATTCCAATAAACACAAAGAAACACGCTAACGCGCAACAAGTAAAACGGGTCGGTCATGTAAAATTATACCTAGTGCATGGAACACTGGTTTGAAAACTACTGTAGTGGGGTTTTGCAGTTGATTTCTTCCATGAATCTGAAACAAGTGTGCGCGAATCCGGATGATGATCAACAATTTGTGAATGCTTTAATCCTCGTCTAACCGGTCGTGAACTCACCCGAGATCGGACAATCACTCGGAAGGCCCATCCAACTGTGGAGAAGATCATCTCAACCGCTTTCTCGTCAATGTGCCCAGTTCCGGAAGTTACCTCTCGACCCGTACTGATGTGGTTGTTCATAAATGGGCTATTCGGTTCCGTCGGTGAGCTCAGATTGATCACAGGTAAGTTATTTTCTGTGCCAGTCAGGCCATCGTCCAGGACATCTCGGAGAATGGAATTTAACAATCGCAGATAGGGATAGTGCACGGTCGTATAGGTAAATGCGGGTCCCTTCAGATAGGCGTCGATCAATTCCTGATAGGCCGGTTTGATGAGCAGATCGTGATAGCATTTTGCCAATGCCATCAGTACACTATAACCGAGGCTTACGTGCAACACAACATTCGATCCGGTGAGATCCACACAGGTGCAAAGCATTTGAAGCAGATTGTCCAACAGGGAACGAGTGAACTGTAGGATGAGTTTGGG